AGTTAAAACATCGGCTAGAAATTATGTAAATCTGTTGTGATTGTAAATAGCTAAATTTATGTAAATAATTATATATATATTTTAAATATATATATAGTTATGGCTCGAGAGAGTCGTGGTATGTAAAACTTGAGGATCAGGAGCGTCTGGTTCTCATCGTTTGTTAACTTCCAAGTAAATAAAACAAAAGTTCATCCTAACCAACGGCTGGCCTGATTTCCAACACTACAATATTACAGCGGGAGATTAAACTGGCGAAACTGCTGGGAGGGTTCACCACTGATGAGCCAGGCTTTCCTAATATTTTATCAATGCAGTATAGGCATTAGAAATTTATTATTTATAATTCATAGAAATTATAATTCGGGAATGAAAGTGTAAGATAATTGCTGTTTAGTATGGCATTGTATTTCCCCATATTTCTGATACATGCTGTGTTACCCTGTTTAAATTTTATCTGTTTTCATATCTATTGTTTTAAATATAGCTTTTTGGGTTAAATGAGACATTCTAGAATTTCTCTCAGTCGCATGTAAGACAAGATAATATTCTAGTTAATTTCATATAATTCAAATTGGAATATTGTAGGGTAATAACGCGCCATCTTCATATATAAGAAAGGAAAAGATTTAAGCAAATACAGTAGAACCTCCATGAGAGGACACCTTTCTATAAAGGACAGTTTTCATTTGCTAAATTACCATTTTTACTATTCAGAAATTCTCCGGTAAGTGGATATATCTCCCTAAAGGACACTTTGGCTCTGCAATTAGGTGTCCTTTACAGGAAGGTTCTACTGTATTTAAGTGTAATTCTACTGTCCTAAAAGCTTATGTCCATAGTTTGCCTAAATACCATTTCCAATATTCAACCCTTCAGTGTAGCGTATATAAGCAGAATGATCCAATACAGAATTAGAGCTCTAAAAAGCGGTCAGGTAGATTGAATTGGCGGGGACCGCTGGGAGGGTTCACCACTGATGAGCCAGGCCCACCCAATGTGTTTTTCATCGCAGTGGGGACAGTGGAAAGGTGTTTGGAAAAAACTTGCGTGCTTAAATGTTTTAATTTATTGTAAATTATAATATATTTATTAATTTTCGAATGGCTATATATTACTTCTCGACGGAATTGGATCCTGAATGAATATCGAAGTACTAAGATTCTCCCAAGATGGAGGAGCCTCCCTGACATCAGCTGTAAACCATATATCACCAAATTGCATAAATATGATCATTTATCTTTGTTCAATTTCTCATTAATTTTTGTGTAACAATTAACTAGATTAAGAAAAGGCATCTCCTTATCGTGAAACTGAAATTTGCTGATGGCTTGCGCTATCTGTAGGAATAAATATCAACTATTTGTTGATTTTTAATTATTCCACAATTGTCCAAATACCCATCCTTGATTAATCAAGAAAAGCTAACCACCTACGCGGGGTGGTTTTAGAAGGATGAAAGATGATTCTGTATAAAGAACAGAGGATAGACTGATGTATTGAGGTACCTGATGATGTTTGTTTTTTAATGGAAGCATTAAAATAAGGTAGGAAACAGTGGATGTGTGCTTTTTGAAAGTGTTCTTACAAAGTTGATTTTTTTAAAGCTGATTGAGCATTGAGAGAAGAAATGGGTATATGTTGGGGTGATGTTCTTTTATAAAATATAGGTGTGTGGAATTTTGGCGTTTGTTTGTATAATTAGAATATATAAAAATGGTATGACGTAGTTATATTCTATTTATAGGGAGAATGGAATTTTTAAATTATAGGAGAAAGGATGTGTTCCCTTTTTAAAAGAATGATTTTATAGCGCTATATCTCGCGAAAGAAGCGCACGATTTGAGGTATTTTATTTATTTGAAAGAACACAATTATTGATTTATATTTCATGAAAAAAAAAAAAAAGAATATTGGAAATGCCTGAAATTATATGTGGTTTTGTAAAAGGTTACGTTTTCAGACTTTCCAAGGATAAATACTCGTTTACCTAAATTATGAAAGAAAATTGCTATTACTAAGTGCACAATCAGTTTATATAATAAATAAAAAAAAGAAAATTTTATATCTATGAAATGAACGAAAAAATCTCTATGAAATAAAGTGTCTGAAGGAACCTTTAACTCTAACTGAAAGAAAAATAAAGGAAATGGTTGTCAGAGAGAATCCACCTTCTCAAATGAACATTTCCACAATAACCAACGTACCACTTTCTACTGTTGAAAAGTTTAAACTTGTCAAGGAAAAAAACGGCTTAAAAATACGTAAAATGCTAAAATTCTAGTTCTAAAGCCGCACCATATCGAGGAACGCAAGACCTGCAGCAGGGCCCTTTATGAAAAGTACCTGGCAGGTGAAAAATGGAAGAATGCTGTTACACTGGACGAGGCATGGGTTTATCTCAATGATGGCAACCAACCCCGTGCCATTTACTACGCTAACTCTCAAATAAACACCTTTCAGAACTGGGTAAAGCAAGGCAAGGAAAGTTTCTCAAAGACTTCATAATTGCTGCAGGTTTCTGTTACAATGGGAAGCTTCCAATAAAGAAGGTGGACCCAAATGTCAAGATAAATTTGCAAATCTACCAAAGACTTGTCTTAGACCCATTATTTGACAATGAGGTCCCATTTCTGTATCCAAGTCACTCAGGATCCATGTGGCTGCACCAGGATAAAGCCACGAGTCATATCTCACGTTCAACACGTCAATACCTGGACAAAAAGAGGGATGAAACCAGGATTTCGTACATCCCTTTTAAACACAGCCCTACAAAATTCCCAGAATTGGCTCCTATGGATTTTTGTGCATTTGGCTTGTTGAAAACTGCTCTTAGATCTAGAAAACCGAAGACGCTAGAGGGTCTCTGGAAATTTGTTAAGGAGGGTTGGTATTGTCTTGATTAAAATATTCTAAGACGAACCCTTATTTCCTTGAAACATCGATGAAGGGCTGTTGATAAACGTCAAGGCCTACACATTGAAAACAATAAGTTTTACACACATTTGTAAATTATTTTGTGTTGTATATTGTATTTTGTATATAATTACATTGTAAGAAAGCAATGAAATCGTTCTTTTAAAAATGTAACACACTCTGGAATTCAAGGTGTTTAGGATGATGTCAGGATAATTTCTTGGTCAGATACAAAGGACGTCGTCGACGCCAGAGAGAGATATTGGAGTTGATCCAGGAGTCTAGGTCGGACATGTCTGCCCCCAGCAATGGTCGATACGGTGCTACCCATTGGGAGCCTCGGGTCTGCTTGAACAGTTGTTTATTGTAAGTGAACACATTCATGTTTAGACATGTTCTGGTAGGTTATATAATTTTTCTGATGGCTGAGGTGTCTGTGTTTGAATCTGTAATTCATTTTCCTACATCGTCTAATATTTCAGACTTGATGGATAATGGATCAGCTATTTTAAAGTTCTTTAATTTTTTCAAGACTGCAAGGAGGAATAAAGACCTAACAAAGTAACTGAACTGTGTGGAAATATTTTTTTCTTCACAAGATGCAACCATTTACTCAATAGTATACTTCTTCACTGTGTTCTATGCACGAAAAACGATGTATATAGTCTTTTGTACATAGATATTCTTTCCTTTTCTTCTTTTTCTCTTTTCTGAGCAAGGATTCAGTTTCTTCCCCTTCTTCTCATTTCTTTTTAGATTCATTTCTAACAGGAGTCTGTATAAGACGGAATGTCTTAATAAAGGCTTGTGTGTGTATCGTCTAACATGAGGGAGTATTGCAGTCTGAGGTACATGGAGTCAACTCCATGTTCTATTTCTCTGGCGTCGATACATCGATGACGTCCTATGTATCTGCCCAAGGAATTACTATCTCAAATCCTAGTCACCTTCAATTCCTCTAGTCCAAACATTTAAATTTCCCTAGAAATAGAACATAACCACGTAATTCCTCATTTTTTTAATGTTCTAATTATACAAACAAACGCCAAATTCCACCCAACTGTGATTTTTATATAAAAAAAAACATCACCCCAATTTATACCCATTTCTCCTCTCACTGCTCAATCCGATTAAAAATCAACGTTGTAAGAACATTTTAAAAAAGAGCACACATTCACTGTTTCCCCGCCTTCTTTTAATGCTTCCATTAAAAAACAAATATCCTCAGGTACCTCAACACATCAGGATATCCACTATTCTTTATACAGAAACATTTTTTTCAATTCTAAACCACCCCGAAACCAGTTTACAAAGCCACTTGTGTGATTCCATATACAACTCCATAGCTCCCACCTTATGTAAATTTGGAATCACAATATTACAGCTAAAACCCCCGACCTAGACCACAGACTTTCCATCACAAAGAGAAAGCAACAATAAACCCCCTTCTCTAAAGTTATCTTTGTATATCAGCGTTCCATATAATTTTACCCCAGTTTTAGGTATAAAATTAGGCATGTTAGCAAATATTCATTTACCCGAAACATTTATATTTGTTATAGAATCTTGTTAAATAAAAAAAAAAAAAAAAACCCGGTACACCAAGAAGAATACAGAAGAGGGAAAGTGTAAATTATTTTCTCAATTATTTTAGCATTAAGATTCTCTAACCATTCAACATATTTATTATTTTGAATAGAGAAACTAGTATTCTTTGAAAACTCTTGTTAAATAAAAAAAAAAACCAATGTACAAGAAGAAGGCAGCAGATAAGAGGGAAAGTGTAATTATTTTCTTAATTGTTTTAGCATTAAGATTCTCTAACCATTTCAACATATATATTATTTTGAATAGAAAAACTTGTATTCTTAGAAAATACATGAAATATGAATACAGTAGAACTTTGATAATTCAAACATCTTTAATTCCAATATTTATCTTGGTCCCTAGAATTTCCTATAAATAGAATTTCCGTTTTTAATTCGATTTTTTTTTGGTCACTTGATCTTCGAATTATCCAAGTTCAACTGTAGTTTTACGAAATAACAATAAAAATAAAGCAATAAAATAACCTATCAATTGCTATAATCCTACCACAATGTAAACACCGGTTCTCGTCCGATCTGCGAAGTTAAGCAATGTCGGTCCCGGTCGTTACTTGGGAGGGTGACCACTTGTGTGGATGTTGTAGGGTATTCTTTTGAATGTTTGGTGGACAAGTGGTATACAGTGTATACTATACACCGTCGATTTTCTATAGGCACGACTCAAGATCAAATCCCGCATTGGGAATTTTTGTCTATTGACTAGAAATTATTAAACCTTTTTGTCATTTGTCTATCTCGGGAGCGAGTTCTGCGTTTTTTTTATAAATGGAGATATAGGGAATGTAAAATTCGAATGTATTTGAAATGAAGGGCCAGGATGATAGCGAGCAATGATGATCCCAACAGCAAAGCCCAACCAACGCTGAGAAATCGGCGGAAGAACAAAACATCATTTAACTTGAAAATAAATTTTCTAAAAACCAAGAAAACGGCAGTTATGCTAATCAAGCCGCGGAAAAATCAAACCTATGCAAATTGGGCGGACAAAGTAGAAGCCGCCGAAAGGAATTAACTTCTCAAGGTTGACACAGGCCTAAAGTGACAAAAAATAAAATTTGGGAATCTAGAGTCCATCCTGAAAACATCGCGAAAGCAGAATCCATCGCAGCCAGGCCAACCCAACAATTGAGGGGAAAAGAGGCTGAAGCATCAGACAGCAGCAAGATCTCGTCAGGGCTTAATCAACAGCGACACGACATTCGATCAATGCTGTTTCTTCGGATGGAGAGCACAGACTTCCATCCAGCTCAATAAATGGAGGCTCTGGAACAGAAGGGAAAGTCTTCAATATACCAGCTAATAAAGATGCCCGGCTATGTTCTAGTAGGACTATGCAGCATCAAGAAGGCAGAACGCCTGATCAAGAAAGACCTCACCATCGGCAGTACCTTCTTAAAAGCCTTTCTAAGGCTGAAAAGAGGGTTGAGAAGATAAATATTGAAAATTTATCCATCGCTGTTAAAGACGAAGGCATCAATGCATTCTTACTGCGAAGTTGTCTCAATGTCTTATGAGATAGTGAACTTCCCTAAAAGTAAAGGGCTGTGGTGCGGCGCCTAAAGAGACTGCGCCGTCTCTTCACTGGACATCTCGTGGGCAACTCATTTCAGGATAGTTCTGGGCTGCGACATTACATCATGCCATGGAACCTTGATCCAGAAAAATCACTTGCTAGGCATCCTGGAAAGGGCTATCTTAGTCCCCATGCGTCCGTCATTTCTTCCTGGTCGGGCGAGCGAAAGCGGTGACAGATGCTAGCACGCTAGCATCCCAGCACAGAGCCCTGACGCTAACTGCACAGGATTCCTTCACATTTGTACAACGGCAGATGCGGCGGAGGTCGAGTTGATTAATGACCAGTTGACCGCGATGGGACTATGCGATAACGCAGTAAGCTGATCCTCAGAGACATCTTGGCCACGTGGACTAATAATAGTCCAGCGTCAATGGCACAAATTGGACTTCCGCCGAGATGATGGAGCGGTGGCAGATGCACCAAAAAGTGCCGAGATTGATCGGCCTGTCAAGTAGTTACCGCCCTATTTACATCCCGCACGTGCCTGTCTGCCCCTGGTTGGTCCCCGCCCCCACCTGGAGACTCCGATATAAAGTCTTCAGCTAATGTAGATCAAAAGAGAAATAGAGCCGATGATAGTTCGTCTTCTTCGTACTTCTAAAGATCTTACCTGAACAGAGCTCATCCTAAACAAGATATGAAGCCACATTAAAAAGGAATATTTCTCAGGTAGATCAACGTACAACAACCGATGACAATTCATCTTCTTCGTCCTTCGAAAGATCCTAGCTGAACAGAGCTAATCTTGAACAAGAAATGAAGCCATTAAGAAGGAATAATTCACAGGTAGATCAACGTACAACAACCAACCATCTAGAATGAACCTAGGTTGTAAGAATTGGTTGAAATAGGCCAGAACTCATGAGAGAAAGTGACTCAAGAAGATGACTAAAAGATGGACTCTAAGTTGAAAGGACATCACCATAGATTACGGTAGGTCAGCAAGTAGATAAGATTGAAAAACATTTACAATGATTAAAATGATATGTCTTTGGTAGAATAATGAGGAATGTTAGTTACAGTAGAAGCTGCCTTACGAGAGTGCCTAAAAACCTAGCTAAAAAATTCTTTCATGTATTGCAGAATCTATGATAAGAGGCTAACGCCAGGAGAGAAGATTTAGCTAAGTTTATAGGGATTTCTCATGGGAACATCATAATTTATAACTATTACGATCTAAATTGTTATAAAATCGAAATTTGCCTGCATGGTTATCGATAAATACTATGACAAATATTACTAAACTTTATATACGTATAACCCTTTTGACCCTGGGAATGGGTTTAGGCTATAATTTTGTTAAAATTTTGTTTAATCCTGTTGAATATATCATACAAATTGGTTAAATATTGAGGAGACGTATAAGGAACAAATACATATTAAATTTTATAAAGAAATAGAGATGTTTGAATATTCCTATTTGTTTTCATTGAGATCTTTCTCTCTGTTTTCTCAGAGCTTCAGATCTTTGTTGATTTTCGTTGTCTTCAAATATCTAAGTTTTTAAACCTTTTTTTCCTAATGCCTTTTGTAACAAATGTTTCAGTTGAATCTATATTCTTAATTTGACACCATTTCTCTGCCTATGAGTAGCTCAGTTACATTCTCTTTTGATAATTTGAAATTTGACCGTCGAAAGTTTGTTTAAAAATGAAACAGACTCAGCGGGCTAATGTATAGTCTTCATCGTGAAACCAATACGTTAATATAGCATCATCATTTTTCAATGTAAATGGTATTTTACAGATATTTGAACAGTTATGGCATTAAATGAATACGTCTTTAATATTAGATTGAAAATAAATAACTTCTTTCTTATATCCAATTAATCATATTAGGGTATCAAGCTTGTAGAGCTTGAGACTTTTGATGTTGTCTGCTGGGGATGAGTAGAGCTCATCAATGGATGAGTCAATACAGTCAATAATGTATTTTGAGTTTTAGGTTGAAGAATTTCACTTAGCACATAGTGGGAAAACCTTGCAACCATTCTGGAAATTCATTGTCCGTAGATGACAAGTCTGGAAATCAAAGACTGTTGTTCTCTTGGGAGAATAGAACCGGTGCTTGTCCCTCCTGCTTTGTACCAGTCACGTGCAGCAAAAAACTAAATAAATAACTAAATAATTATATATGGAACGCTTCACGATTTTGCGTGTCATCCTTGCGCAGGGGCCATGCTAATCTTCTCTGTATCGTTCCAATTTTAGTATATGTACCGCCGAACAAGCGAGTAAATAATTATATAGTTCTTAAATTAAAGAGACACTTCGGCCAGAAAAGGTTTTGTTTTCTGAAGAGAGAGTATACAGAAAGGGGGATAAAGAACATAGAAGAACTGCTAATGATCACAATGAGGAACAAATTGGACAGATGGGCTCCTAGAATTAAGAAGATCGATCCTAGAAGAGTAATGAAAATAAAACCTTTTCTGGCCGAAATGTCTCTTATTTAAGGAATACGAATTCCCTCCAAGCAACCTCAAGATAAATAATTATATTATGATGCATTAGCGCGCTATCTGTTATGAAAGTTCGAAACTATTATAGACGCGTATGATTCTTTTTATAAATAAACAATTTCTACTACCCTTACTGCAATGGAAAATTAATGGGAGGGCCTGACTCATCAGTGGTGAACCCTCCCAGCGGTTTCGCCAGTTTAATCTATCATAACGCTGTTATATTGCATTTTTCGATCTTCCTTTTATAGTGATACTGATACTAGACTTTTGGAATATGGGTATTTTAGATGAACTATGAACATAAGCTTTGAAGAAAAAAAAAGCAATATAATAGCGGTATGGTAGATTAAACTGATGAAACCGCTGGGAGGGTTCACCACTGATGAGCCAGGCCCTCCCATTAATTTTTCCATTGCAGTAAGGGCAGTAGAAATTGTTTTATTTTTCAAAAGAATTATACGCGTCTATAATAGTTTCGAATTTTCATAAATAATTATATTTAAGATGTAAAATGAAGGCCAGATATCCCAATTCCAGCTTTAATACACCCCATACACAGCAGGTGCTTCAAGTATTGTCACCAGATCGGGGCTCATTACAGTCAATATATATTCTGAAGAACTTGAAGACACTCAGCCATCACTTGTTCGGCTCCCGTAATTCCAACTTGACCGGATAAAAACATTCGAGAATCTGCAGGGGAACTCACAAAGGACCGTACCTCCCTACTATATTTGCATATGAACGGAGACCCAATTTGCTTGGGGAAATATCTTACCGTCGCTGTAGTAGCCCGCCATCTATCAACGACTTTTGTAACTATTTTCAGGAGGCGTCGGGTTTTTAATTCATAAAATGAATATTTGATCATTATAGCTCTTTTGATCGTTTAATTTAAAGTGGGATTTACATTATGTATTATCAGAATAACAAAATCATATAGGGAAGATTTTCTTGTAAGTTTTTTTTTTTTTTTGTATTTAAGGATTGATTTATATTTGATCAAAATGAGTACATAACGAATAATAATAAACGCCGTTAGATACTAACTATTAATGAGAAAACAATATAAAAAATAATAAAAAGGTGAGGTTTTGATATTAAGAATAATGAAGGCATATCCTGACCAAAAGCACATGTGCTTTTTAGATGGCAGAGCGCCATCTAGTGGAGCAAAAATAAACTAAACGTTTATTTAACTTGCTCCTTGATATTTGGCCAACCCAATTTCTTGATAAATCAAGAAAAGCCATCCACGAACGCGTTTCGCGCTGTTGGCGCTCGTCAACGTGGAGAAGGCTGTAACCAACTGCGACCAAAAATATTTTTTAGTCCCAATGGCTTCCCGAAAAATCAAGAAATGGGTATTTAAGGCCAAATTTGCGTAAAGACGCTTAACACATGAAAAAAACAATAGAAAAAAAAAAGATAAGTGGGTCAGGTGTTGATATTATATATATATGATGCACTAGAGCGCCATCTGTTATCAAAATTCGAAACTATTTTAAAGGCGTAAGATTCTTTTTGAAATTAAACAATTTCTACTGCCCTTACT